ATAATGCGAAAGAAAAAAAAATGTCTTATCATAGTCATAAATGTCAGCACCCTGCGGTTATCTCTCTCTGTCTGTGTGTGTGTGTGTGTGTGTGTATGTGTGTGTGGGTGTCCTATTTTAGCAACTCTTGACTGAGAGGGGGCAGCCGCGAGGGCTCGAGCTCAGGATAAAACACTTTTGCATAACTAAATGCCCTGCAATCTGTATCATCTCTTCAGCTGACATATACACACACTCACACACACACACACACACACACACACTAGCACACACACGTTTGGCACTTGTGTATTTTTTGGCTCTTAGGTTTTAGCTTTAGTTTATTTGACATTTTTCTTTTCCTTTTTGTGTTTTGTCAACGGTTTGATACCCTGTATACATAGGGTATGCCTCGAACAGTCACAGATTATGTACATCTATGGTTAGATAATTATATGAAAGGCTAATTTCAGAGTCTCTAATCGCTTTATACTAGAGTCAGTTATATAATTTGGCAGATACAGTAGAACCTGGTTATAGTCCCTTGAGCAAACTTGAATGGTGTCGGCATCTTCCGGGTCACTCTGTATTTGTATATGGATATATGAGGATCATATGAGCATATGAGGATTATCTTAAGGCATTCCATCAAGCGAAAGTTAGCTTAGAGCAAAGTAAATTTCCAACAATTATTACCCTATATGCAATTGTGTATATGTAGATAGAGGAATGTCATATGATCGACACATATATACTTTAGTTATAGATGAAAGAAATCAACTGCTAGGGCTAAGTGCTTAAGAGCGCAATAAATTAATAGAAATAGAAATTTAAAATTTAAAATTAAAAAAAAATAATAAAAAAAAAATTTATATATAAGATATATAGTATATGATTTCACGAGAGCGAGAGAAATATAGTTGTTGCTGAAGCTGGTTCCGCCTGTTGCTGCTGTTGAGAAAATGGGAGGGCATATAGGGGTCAGGCCAAAAAGTCAAAGAAATTATGAGAAGGTAATGGACAGCAAAAGAAGAAGAAGCTCCTATTCATTGTGAGTGAGCATAATATAAGATATTCTAGATATTTTAGTCTAATCAATATCCTCATAATTTCCACTTACAGAGCATCTGCACGTCGAGCATGCCCGGTCAGCCGGCTTTTAAAGCTGCGAGAGCAACTTGTTAGTTTGTTGTTTCATTCTTTCATTTTATTTTTCAGTTGTGTAGCTGCTTAGCTTGCACACACACACACACACACACACACACACACGCACACACACCTCAACGCTTAGTTAAAGCCAGAGTTATGCATATGTATGCGTATTATTTTGCTGGAGATGCTTTTGCGCTTTTTTGCGGTCGCTTTGCTGTGTTAATGACACTTACAAAGCACACACACACACACACACACACACACACACACACACACGATGCACATACTTAGCATTAGACAGGCTAAGGCGGCAATTTCAGCTGCCACGCCCACCGACGCGGAACAACAACAACATGAAGGAATAAGAGCACGCCGCATATTTGAAATTAAATTACTTGCAAAAAGCGTGTAAATTGCCAGTGAATGACGCATCCCTGCCAAGCCACCCCCTACCCCCGCAACCCACCCGAAACCCAGCTGCCCCCTCAGCACCTATACGCCCTAACATCCAAAGCCACGCCTCTGCAGCAGCCTCTATCTAATGCTAAACTTAAGTCTCTTCTTGTTGTTGTTGTGCTTTTGCTCGCTTTGCCATTTTTTTCGTCTTTTATGTTTGGTATTTTTTTTTTGGCACTCTGCGGGCCAACGGGGCGTATGCGTAATGTGCTTGGCTCTGAAGTGCGCCAATGCAGCCGCCAACAAGGAATGTGCGTGCGTGTGTGTGTGTGCGTGTGTGTGTGTGTGCGTATGTTAAGTCAAGTATGGGCGCTAATTACATGTTCGATTCCTTTGGCGCCCATGCAAAACCCATGGAAATCGCCTCCTGCTCGACTTTCGCTTTTGCTGGGCAAATGTTGTCTCTGGCAGCTGTGGACGCATTTTGACGTCTTTTTCCGTCGCTTGCTTAGCCAAACGTGGCCAATTCATGCCGCCGTGCTAGCGTGCATGCAAGCATGGCCGCTAAACGCAGCTGTAGCCGTAGCCGGAGCCGGAGACACTGGCGTTAGTCATCAAGTCGAGCATTAAATGAGTCTCTCAAGAGAGAGCGAGGGGGGGAGAGAGAGGGGGAGACTAGGAGACAGTGAGAGCGAGAGCGAGAGCGAGACTTTCGCACTTCTCTCTGCTCTGTTAACTGTTAACAGCTTCTCTCAGCTGCATGTCCTGCGCACTCGCCAAACAGCTGTTCATGGGGCACAGTGCTGCCCATGTCCGCAATAGAAGTGTTATACTCGCAAACTGTTATACAGCCGATTCGCGCGCAATTCGAACTGAAATGAATTCGATTTGGTGCGAATAAACTAAATAGTTCGTTGAACCCACAGCAACAGCCACCGCAGCTCTTAGTGCTGGACACGATTCGGTGTACCCAGAATTACGTTTACATTTTGTCGGCGTCTTATCTAAAGCCCCAAGTCACGATTTCAATTTGCTAAGCGGCCCCAAAATCGATCTATTGATTTCATATTCAGCACTCAAAGTGGACGACATAAATCAAAATCTGCTTTGACAAAATGCGACATAAATAAGCCAGCGGACAGCGGCGTCCCATAGAGGAGCAGGGTCTCAGATATGATTGAAAATTTAGTTATATACATGGAAATAAATCTAATATATACAACAAAAAAAACATTTTATTTTTAAATATTTTGTATTTTTTTGTATCTGCTATAAAATTTACAATTTTTAATGGATATTTGTAGGTAGAAAAAATATATATAATATAAATTATAAAATATGAAATATAAAATTTAAAATATAAAATATAAAATATAAAATATAAAATATAAAATATAAAAAATAAAATATAAAATATAAAATATAAAATATAAAATATAAAATATAAAATATAAAATATAAAATATAAAATATAAAATATAAAATATAAAATATAAAATATAAAATATAAAATATAAAATATAAAATATAAAATATAAAATATAAAATATAAAATATAAAATATAAAATATAAAATATAAAATATAAAATATAAAATATAAAATATAAAATATAAAATATAAAATATAAAATATAAAATATAAAATATAAAACATAAAACATAAAAACTCTTTTGATAATTTTCATTCTCTCTAATTCCCGTTGTTCCATCGTCGTCTACCTCTACTCTCTTGCCTATGTTTCATAGACACATGAACTTGACAAATTAGAGTTAACATATATTACGTCCCCCTTTACAGACGCCACTGCCCTAAGCTACTACATACATTCTCCCCTCTCTCTCACTCCGTCTTTCTCTAACTTGCGCGCTCTCTTTCATCGTGGCTTAATGGCTCGCCGCTTGCGGAAATACTTGGCCAAGGCTGTCAGCGAAACTGTGGCCCTTTTGGCATGCGTAGCATGTAAGTGGCCTCCACTTGCCGGATGATTAATCAGTCGACAGCCTGACAATTAGCCACGCTGACAGACAGACGCCCAGGGCTCGGTAACCAGACCAGAAACCCAGTTCCAAGCATTGACTCAACGCAATCATCACAGCACAGCTCAACCCACACACATGGACGTGCCAGCGCCTCAGTGACACACCCCCTCACGGCCCTCGCCCCTTACGATGTCTTTGCTGGCATCAGGCAATGTTGGTCTAGTCCCTATGCGAGCAGAACTCAAACCCGATTGCAAGTGCCAAGCGAAGAGCGCACAAAGCAGACGCAACAATTGCAGCAAAGAGACGGAGAGCGAGAGAGAGACAGTGAAAAAGAGAGAGAGAGGCAACAGCAATGCGTAATTTCCTTTGCATACGCAGGTATTTAGAGATGCGCAACTAGCGGATCATTGTGAATGGAAAACGTTGTTGCTTAAAGTGCGCAAATCTTAAACGATTTTGACCATGATCAGATTTATCTTTAAGATTTGTTATGAAGTTTAATTAATTGATTAATTGAAAAAAAATATATATATATTAAATATAGATGAAACTAAAGATTATCTATAAGCTGAAAAGCTGCCAAAAATAAGATTAAATAAATAAACAATAAATAAAAAATAATAAATAATAAATAATAAATAATAAAGAATAAATAATAAATAATAAATAATAAATAATAAATAATAAATAATAAATAATAAATAATAAATAATAAATAATAAATAATAAATAATAAATAATAAATAATAAATAATAAATAATAAATAATAAATAATAAATAATAAATAATAAATAATAAATAATAAATAATAAATAATAAATAATAAATAATAAATAATAAATAATAAATAATAAATAATAAATAATAAATAATAAATAATAATAATAAATAGTAAATAATAATAATAAATAATAAATAATAAATAATATATATGATCTGAAAATAAAATATAAAATACAATAAATGCTAAATAATTAAAATTTTTTAAATAATAATTCATTCAAAAAGAGATAAGATGATAATAATAATAAATATTTAAAAAAAATTATTAATTTAAATTAATTACGAACTTTGTAGTTATTTAATATCTCAACATTTTCACTCATTCAAATGAGTGAAATATTGTCAATGAAACATTTCTGCACAGACAATGCATGCAGCTGTGCGTTAACAATTCGCCGCGACTGTAGCTGCAACTGTGACGCCCTTAGCATAGCGACAAAAATCACAGCTGAGCGCATCTCCAATGGGAAAGGCAGCATAAGCGAAGCGCTGACGTCGCCAGAGACGGCGACGCAGACAACGACGACAACGCCAACGCTAACGCCGACTGCGCATGCGTAGCGTGAAGCAGAGACATTGACAGCGCGCAGCAGCGGCAGCCGCAGCAGCGGCATTGGCAGCGACGCGTCGCGGCGTTGAATTCGATTTTAGATATAAGACGGGACTCGGAAGCGTATTTACCTTTGAGTGTTGTTGTTATTGTTGTCGCTGCTGTTGAAGCTGTTGAAATTCAAGCGCAAATCGACAAACGAACTCAGAACGCTGCGGCTGCGCAAACGCAAAGCACGCGCCGGCCACACACTACCCAACTCCAACTCCAATTCCAATTCGAATTGCAAATCCAATTTGAATCATTTCGAATTTGCCATATCAACTGTTGCTTCAGTTCCAGCTGCGCTTCCAGTTGCCGTGTTTTCATTCCACTACAGTGCGTGCGTTTTCCAGTGTTTATAAACATATTTCCAACTCGCTTATTTTTTTCAATATTATTTTATAAAGTGAAAAGTGAAAAATCCTAAAAAAAATAAAAGAGAATTTTCTGCTATCAAGGTAAATTTTGGTTGAATGCATAAAAGAAGTAAAAAAAAAAAAATTTTAATCACATTTTTAACAATTCGCCAAATACGTGCGTGCGTGCCTCGAAGACCTTGAAAAAATTGATTTTTAAATTTTGTTCACATCAAAAACCATTGTAAAAAAAAAAATGCATAAAATGTAAAGTGCAGAAAATATTTTGGTTTTTATTTCGTTATTTTTATATTTCTTGTGCATTTATTTTTTATTTATGTTTTTTATGTGATTTTATTTGACATTTCTTGCAATAAACATAAATTTTCGCTTAATCGGAAAACAAGACAAAAATGAGAAAATTGACATTAAACTTTAAACTTTATTAAAATTTTAATATAAATTTAAATTTAATTTGTAATTTGCTTAAAATTAATTTGTATTGTGTTTATAAATTAAACAAGCATTTATAGATAAGGAAAGTTTGCTTAGGTTAGATTGATTAAGGCTAGATTAGATTTGATTAATTCTTCTATAAACAATTTGTAAATTAAATGTTTATTTGAAATATTTTAGCTTTTTTAGTTAGCTAGCTAACAGGTCTTTAAGCTGAAGTCTGGCTTTCTAGTATGCAATTGAATGAAATTCCAGCTTGAATTGCAATTTTTATCGCAAGCTCTAGCATTTGCTCCCTTGAGCCTTGCTCCAATTGTGTCAGGCAGTAGTGCTTATATGCCATAATTTAGAACAGAGTTCTGTCGGTGCCCAAGCCATCGTTAATTCAGTTATCTTCGTAGTCAACTGCGAGCAGTATCGAAAATGCCTTCGATTGCCTTCAGTGCGGCTGTCAAAAGCGTTCAAAGTCAACGCAATTGGAAAAGCACCCGACTGGCATACTAAAGAGTCACAGCTCTGTCTGTGTGTGTGTGTATGTGTGTGTGTGTGTGTGAGTGTGCAATGTGCAGTGTACAGAATACCGCAACACACACACTCACACACAGACAACAATTCGTGGTGCCAAGCGATAAGCATTATCGCTTCTATTTGGGTTTACGAGTGGAAAGAATCAGTGAAAAACATTTGGGAATCTTGCCAACGAGCATACTAGACTATGCGACACTCTGTTAACACAACTAAAACTTGGTCAAGCAAACAGAGAACTTATGCTTTAGCTGTAACTGGGAAAAAAAACAATGTAGCTCAAGTGATAAACTAAATATCAATAAGAAACTAGAACTAATCTACTCTCTTTCCAATTGATTCAACCAATGAAATTCTTTAGCGAAATTGAATGAGATTCATCATCTAGTTTATAAAATTCCAAGACTCCACTACATAGCAAAAAAGCCAATATACTCGCTTTGCAGTTTCTACACAGTATATCTAATATAATTTCTTAACGAAAACGAATAAGGCTACATTTCTAGATACAATTAGTTGCCAAAAAGCCAATACACTCGCTTTGCAATTCCTATACAGTGATAGTATTGTCAACTCTTTGGGCCGGGCTGGGCTGGGGTTTAATGTGCTGCTCCAATCGCAGCAAACAGCGATTTGTGCATTTCAATGAGCTCTTAATTGTAATTAAACAAATTGTTTTTCTTTTTCTCTCTCCTCCTTTTTTTTCGCTTCAACTTGGCTCTGACTCAAGCCGTTTTAGCCAGAAGCCAAATCGGTAAGCCGTCAAAATAATGCTCGAATGCTCGATAATCGCATTGACTAAACGAAAACAAACGGCACAAAAAAAAAACGACAAACTCAATTTATGTACATCACGTAGCGCTCATTGCTCATGTTCCAGGGTATCTAGAGGGATATCGGGGCGCTACATTGGGCAATGCAATCGTCACCAATCGCGCCCGATTTTGGCCGAACATTTTTGAAAAGAAAGCAAAAGTTATAAATATTTCGGATTTTTTTTTTTTTCACTTTATTTTTTGTTGACCTATTCGGGAAATTATTATTTAGTCATCGGCATTGCGCAAGAAAATTTATGAAATTTACATTTTACTTTCTATGTTTAGCGCCATGGAAGTGCGATCCCAATTTATAGAAAATACTTTGAAACTGTCTTCGAAAAACATGGATTTTCTATTGAACTAAAGCCAAAAAGGCATCAATATATTATATTTTTGAATTACTTCTACCATATAGATAAAGTATTTCCCGTTGATTCTTAATTTTTTGCTTCATTTTATATCTATTACAGCTTCTTCTGGGCGGAGCCCAAAGCTTCAATTTACATTCAAATAATTTTGATTATTCACTTAACTTATGCTAATTGGACTTCCAATCAGACGTTTACATATGTAAACAGCGAATCAGATAACTTTCAGTTAGACTAATTGGCGGAAAGAGCGTTGAACTTGGCATTTAATTAAAAGTCATAGAAAATTATGAATCTGTAAATAGCGGATCACTTGTACAGTCCATTCTGTTATACACAGTTATAACAGTCTCATTGACTCGAAATGTCAGCGAAATCGTTTGCTTACAAGAATACTCAACTGCAACATTCTATCTTCAAACACTGTTATACATATGTATAACAGTTTTATGGAACTTAAAAACTTAGCACAGCTCAATTAAAATATGTTTGGCATTTTTAATAAAAATTATTTAGTATAACACTTACTGTTATACATGTGTATAACAGTAGTCAATAATTTCGACTTTTTACAATTTACTTAGCTGATTTTCTAGCTGCAAACCAGAAGTCATTAGTCGCTAAAACAACTTACATGCTGTTATACAAATATATAACAGATTTATGGAGTTGGCATAGGTCTGCTAGGAATAATACACGAGCAAGTTAGAGTGGATGCAGCTTAACGAATGACTAGTCCAGTTAGCTGGATCAGCTAGAGCGAGTGGGATCTCGTACTATCTCCCTCTCTCTTTCTCTTTTCCGCTTAGCCACATTCGCTTGACCTTGACCACATAATCCGAGCGTTAAAATCGCAGTGTCAGTTATCATCTTGCTGCATCTCATTTAAAAGGCGGCTCTTATGCTCTGCTTATATAAGTACTTAATATATATATGTATGTGTGTGTGTGTGTGTGTGTATACTTTGATTTTAAATACCGGACAGGACGCCAGAGTTAAGCAAGGGTCATCAATTGTGGTTAACAACAACAACAACAACAACAACAGCGACAGTAAATGCAACAACTTGTTGCTGATTTAAAGCTGATATTGTTCCCACGCTAACAGCCGTCTCTTCTTCTTCTTCATCATCATCTTGACAATAGCCGAATGAGCTAAACTGTAGTCAAATGCTATTTATCAGATATATATATATGCATATTCTAATTTTCTAATTGTTGCAATTGTTAAAAAACTTTTATTTATTAGCGGTTTGGCAAAATGTAAAAAAGTAAAAATAAAATCGAAGCTAAATGTATTCCAATTGGCACATTGACACATTTTTTGCGCCTTGAACAACATGTTCGTACACACATTCAGTAGTTGAGGGATTGCTAGGTTTTTAGATCAAGCGATCGATCGTTGGACCCATCGATCGATCCATTTGACAATCGATGTCATCGGCATTTGTCTGACCGTTCGATTTCATTATAAAATTTACGCATGTTTGATGGATATGCCACAGCATGTAGCAGTTCGTGTGTGTAACCACCGAATATTACGTGATTCGCATGGCAGATATCTACATGTATGTATACACATATATGTATATGCATATATCTGGATATATGCACACAGTCAATGGCCAAGCAGGCGACAAGAAACTCTTCGAATTCCATTCGCACTGCAAGTTTTTGATAAAGGCTCAACAATGGAGGAGCTCAGGAAATCGATAGCCTCGATGTCTTCTATAAGACACTTAAATCTAGAGATCTGTCTTCTATCTTAAATTAAAGATAAAAACTAACTGAAGCTAATATGAATAATGCTTCCTTATGGGATATCAAGCTCTACTTCAATAGAGAATAAAGTAACAATATATGATTGTCAAGTTATCGATAGATAATGACAGCTATTGGCATATATCGCTGTACAATTATCGATATATTTCCATATTTCTTATCTTGAGAAAGTAGTATGAACTGATCTATGTTATGAACTTAAAATACTCTGAGATCCGATTCCATGCTTATCGATAAATACATAGATAGTCAACATGATCATCAAATAGTTTGATGAGCAATCAAAGTTCCAATGAACCAGATATTAATACCTCAATTATACATAGATCTATGATTCAAGTTATACACATAGATCTACATATATCTCGAGATATTTGTAATACACTCCGGCTTTTATAGTTGAACGAACGTGTTAAATCAAGTCTATTTTGATGGACATTTACATTCGCAGCTGAATTATTTACTACCATTTTATTAATGAGCTCATCAAGTCCATTAGTCGCATTAATAGGGCTCAAGAGATATGTATATATATATATATATATAGTATATATAGATATTGTATGCAAATTGGTCTTTATGTTTGATCAGTTGTTTATCTCGTTTCTTTCGTTGTTCGGTTGTTGTTTTTGTTGTTGTTGTCGTTGTTGGCTTTGTTCCAGTTGTTGATTTGTGCCAATTCTTGAGTGGAGCGCGGGCGTCTTTCTCTTTTCTAACCATTTGATGTTGACCTATCCAGAACCAATCCCATTTACAAACGTAACCGATTCCAATTAGTGAATCGCCTTAATTAATTCGCTTGGCTCTACGACGAAGAAATTTTGATAAAAAACACGCATAAAGCAAATGACAGAAGAACAAATCCCCCATAAAAAAAATAAAATAAAATACAAAACTGATTCCGTATTTCAATTTGTAATTCAGTTTCGACCTCGAAAACAAAATTTATATATAAATAAATTTGTTTCCCTAAAAAAAAAAAAAAAAAAGACGCCAACAATTTGTCAAACATAAATAAAAATCGTGACTAGTCCAAAAGTTTCAATCATGCGTAATGGCAATGGTAATTATACGATTTTTATGGACTTTATGCGGTTTTTTTTTTTTTTTTTTTTTTTTGTTGGCAATAAATTATTAGGGAAACCCATATATGGTATACCGGGTGCCGATTCTGGTTTCTCCATGTCTACTCTGAGTTTTTTTTAGTCCTATCAGCTGATTTAGTGACTGGAGATGGACTAGGGCTAAGTGGTTAGGGTTCAATCAGTGATGTAGATGTAGGTCTAGCGGGAAGTTTTCTTTAGGTTGCTTATTAAGGTATTGTTGACAAGTAATGGGTTGGTGTTGCTACCTATGTGCTCTATATTGGCTTAGAAATCTGCTGATGAGCCCTAGGGACTTTCAGTTCTTAGTGAATCTCTTTAGTTGAGTGGAGTAGATGAGCATTGGATATCATTCTTAGCTCTTTGCTTGGAAATATCTCTATAATATTTCAATTGGAATAACTGTTAGTGTCCCAGATTAGAGTCCCATAGGACTCCACATGGTCTTCTAGACTACTAACTTGCCACGCAGCCCCCTTTCATATAAATCTAAAATTAACGATATAGGCATACATTTTTTTTTTTTTTTTTTTGATCTGGCTCTTTTTTGGTCAGCCTTTTTTTTACGAATTTTTGCTCTTCATTATCCACTTAAAATATATTTTAAATATATATCATATAAGCTCTACTCTGAAGAGCCATACCTCTGTTGTTGTTGTTGCTATTGTTGTTGTCACGTTTTTGAGCTGATTGCGCAAGTACAAAAAAAAAAAAAAAAAAAAATTCGTAATTTATATTGTTTTTTCTTTGGCTCTTTTTCTTGGTTAACATGTAAAATCGGGACCTGTCAATTACACAACACCCAAAAACAAAAAGCGGAGCACCGCAAAAGTCAACAGACAAAAAAAATTAAATTAATTTCGCTTGCCCAAAAGAAAAACAACAATTAAACAACAACAACAACAACGACAACAACAGAGGCAGACGCAGCTCCTTTGGCAATTTGCTTAAATTACAACTTAATTTCTGAATTGATTTTCAATTTTTTTGCCGGCATTCAATGCCCAAATTAAAAAAAAAAATATTTCGTGAATTTTAATTTGCTGTACAATTATTTTAAACGCTGTCGCTGTGGGGGTCAGCCAGAAAGCAGCGCACCAGCCCAACTGCAGGATACCCTATAAAAGGAATTCAATTAATTTGCAGGGATATCAAATAAGACTTGTGTGGAAATAAAGTTGAGCTATCATAATATATTTCGTCATAGGAATATTGACATACTTAGGGAGCTCTCATACCAGACTTTGTCAACTAATATATTACAAAATTCTTTATAATGCTTAGCCCAATTCCTACTTGAGCCTTCCAGCCCATCCATAACAAAGAAGATTACTGAACCGTTTGAAGAACTGATTTTCTTCTAACTCTTCGCTTGTTTCTGGCTATGTTATGGGCATTCATTTGTTGTATAGCCCATTCTTAAGGGACTCAGGGCACTACTACCCCACAGAAAACCATCTAGTACAAAGCTCTTCAACGAAACTCAATTACGCCAACTATTTCCATTCCATTAAATTTCTTCACAAACCCATGAAACAATATAAGTACAGCTCTGTCTCATCCCTTTGTGAACTGTGGCATCTATTCAACTAGGGCATCCAGCCTTAGGTAGTATACAGTTCTATAGATAAATAAAATCGCAATTTATCCATATATCTATTCATATACACATATATGTATATCTCCATATCTTCTTTGACTCAAGTCCTGAGCTTCCTCTACAGCTAAGGCTATAAATTCGATTGAGCTATTTACCTTGGAGCGCTTATTATGCAGTCTTTAGCGCTCGAGTTGTTTATTATTTTTTCCCCCTGTTTTTTTTACCTCAGCTTCTAGGGCGTCAAATTTGGGGCAGTTAATCGCTTAGTTGGTTGCGCTTTCAATTTGCCTGTCGACTGCCGCACGGAGCTGCCCCATTGTTTGTGGCTGCTGCATTGCAGCATGCAACACACCCAATTAAACACACAAAGAGAGAAAGAGACGCCGAGAGAGAGAGAGAGAGAGAGAGAGGGCGAGAGCGAGAGGGAGGTAGAGCCAGTTCGTCTGGCTGTTTATTGATTTCTGTAGCACACGCTCCATCGTCACCAATTAAAATTCAAGTGCTCAAGCCTAATTGCATGCCAAAAGTTAAAGCAAGCGCAAAAATTTAGCTGCCAACTGAAAAGGCGCTGACTGCCCCACAGATTCCTTTGATGGAATCCCCCTCCAGTCGAAGGGAATTTCGAAGTTTGTGCGCTGTGTGTGGCTCTTAAGTGAAGAACTATGAGTTTGCTGTAGTTGAAGCTTGATTTAACTGAAATGTGCGCCAAAAACGAATTTGCATTCCCAATTTGAGTTAGTTACCTCAAACAGATCCTGAGAAACTCGACTTTTCTTGGAGCATAGGTAAATTTATGTTTTAGATATAAAATAAGGCTTTACTACTTAAAATCCTTATAGCTTAAGAAAAAAGAAACAGCTGAACTAATAGAGATCGGAAGATATACTCTAATATGTCTATAATCATATCAAGCCTTATGATAATCTCTCTTATAGGGAATAAATGTATCTAAATCATGAATGAATGAATGAATGCATCTAAATCTCTATCTGTGCATATTAAGCATAAATCTCTACATATGCCCAACATTTTAAATGCCCTAATCCCTGTAGATCCTGAGTTATGATCTATCCATGCTTTCTTTGTTTATCTTTCGATATTTGACGAAATCCTTGTCCCCTATCACTTGACATCTGTGAACTGTGTTTCGGGCACTCGGCTGTGCTTGGTTGATTTATGCAAATGGCTCATTATGAATACAGAATTTCGGATAGCGATAATACGTGTTAGCTGTTTAGCTGTTGTTGCTTCCGCTGGCGGAGTCAATGGCCAAAATGTTAGCGTCGCGTCTTAATCAATATGCATATTGTGCATATTTCGCTGAACATCAATAAATGAGACATACACACATCTGTGTATACACACACACACATACATACATATATTTTTAGAGAGCCATCAAAGGGGGCCGGTCCAGACGTTGATCTCAGGTGTCAGGCATCCACGCTGTGCGCCCATCAAATCTGCAAAAACTCGTTCTGGCCAGCGACCAGATCGAAGCCCTGCATTCCCTTGGCCAGGGCGTGTCCCCGGCTGTGCGTAAACTAGATGAGGCCATAAAAATGTTCGCAGCAAAAGGCAAAAATTAAAATAAAAATATAAACAGATCGCGACCATTGACAGTTTTTACGCGCACAAAACAAGCTCAAACATCGGGAGATAAACCAAGAACTGCAAAAAAATATATTTATAAGTGAAAAAAATGAAGTAAGCGCAGACTATGAAAAGAGGCAAATCAGGTGGATGTCCTTGTCCGCAATGGCACAGTAGGTGGAAAGCGTCAAATAGAGGAATGAAATATACATTTTGAGAAATGGAGAAAACTTTAGATAGCGATATAGAAATATATGAATAGAGAAAATCTACTACAGTCAGAGCTATATTATATATTTCTCACTGAACTTTCACCCAAAAGCAATAATAAACAAGATTAAATATCTGAATATATAGCTATATCGATATATATATAGATAAGGTACCATATCTCTATCTCTATATACCCATACAAATATAGTAGATAAAGTACAGCATATAAACCTATAAAGATCTAGTATAGACATATAGGTATAAATATGTACATATTTAAAATATTATGTATAGATATATATAGATATTAATGAATAGATAAAAATATTGCTTTGGGTATACTTGGTATACCTATTGAGTCGGTATCAGTATATGTGTATATGACCTCAAGTCTAAGCTGCTTTTTTCCTTCGTATACCCCATTTTACCACATTTAGCTTTTATGTAAAGCCAAGTCGATATATATCGCCTAAGACAAATGAATCATGGAAAAAATTCTTGCATATATATGTGGGGCCTATGTAAGACTTTTGATTTATAGCACCTAAAACTTTGATAACAGAACTTGATCAAATAATTGCAATGAATGAAATACCTACATGTCTAAATAATTCGTACCCCGCCAAATCGTAAATCGCTATAAATCGAAAAGAAATTGTATCCCCTTGAATAAAAATCGTTCTCGATAATTCTCGATAATTTGAATTTTTATGCATATCGAAAAAGATAACGGATCCCCTTGCTATTTCAAATTATCGGCATTCTACTGTAATATATTTTATTGATTTATAAACAACGTAAAGCTAATTAGTAAAATTAGAGCTAACTTAGGCTTAGGCACTGTCAGCTGGAACCTTCGTCTTCATGAAGTAATATATATTTTATTATTATATTTTTGATATATGAAGATACAGCTTTTCCAGCCACTTTTCCGATATATTGCCCACTGTGCGGGAAACCCGTTTGTGGCAGCGAATGCCAACGAATTTATGCACCGTCTGTTAACTGTCTCCTGTGTTGCTTTGCAGATGCGCCTCCGCTCGACTGGACCCAGGGCGCAGATGTACACAATTCTAGTTGGACTGGTGAGTATGCCAAATAGTCCTGGCCAAAGGCAGACAGAGAGATATATATAGAGAGAGAGAGAAAGACAAACAGATGTAAATGCAAAACAATTGACAGGCGACGCTGTTGCCCGCGGTGCTGGGACATGGAAGGTTAATGGATCCGCCGGCACGGAATGCGATGTGGCGCTTCGGCTATCCCAATCCGGTTAACTACAATGACAACGAGCTCTTCTGCGGCGGCTATGCGGTGCAGTGGGAGCAGAACAGCGGACGGTGCGGCGTCTGCGGCGATGCGTACCATGTGAAGTCGCCGCGGCCGCACGAGGCGGGCGGGGAGTACGCCAAGGGCATTATCTCCCGCTACTATACGGCTGGCCAGGAGATCGACGTGGAGGTGGAGCTGACGGCCAATCACTATGGCCGCTTCGAGATGTATCTCTGTCCCAACAACAATCCGCGGCAGGAGGCCACGCAGGAGTGTTTCGATCGCTACCCGCTGTTCATCTCAGGCAGTCGGGAGCACCGCTTCCTCATACCGCGCGACACCAAGAAGAAGGACATCTTCCGCTATCGCGTCCGGCTGCCGCCCTACGTCACCTGCACCCAGTGCGTCCTCCAATGGACCTACTACACGGCCAACATGTGGGGCACCTGCTCCAATGGCACCGAGGCCGTCGGCTGTGGCAAGGCGGGTGAGTTCTCTGTTTCGCTGCTTCGCTGCTTCCATTGGCCCAGCGGCGACTCATCCTTCTGGCATTTGCAGAAACATTCCGTAACTGTGCCGACATCGCTATCATCTCGAATACCGGCGGCGGCGTACCGCCCATCTTTGTCAACAATAGATCGCCCTACCTGCTGTACTATCGTGACTACCGGGCACCCGACGACAACAATGTGTTCCCCTTGATTGTGCGGTAAGTGTGTTGGTGGCAACCGATGCATTGAATGTCAAATAACCGATTCATAACCGGTTCAATGTATATTTGCACATAACCGATTCATTACCGGCTATAATTAGGTCAGTACATAACCTGTTAATGCCCGGTTGAATATGTTTGTACATAACCGGTTCATTCCCGGTTAAAAATCGGGGTGTACGTTACCGATTCATTGCCGGCTAAAATATGTCTGTACTTAACCGTTTCTTTACCGATTGAAAATCTGTTTTTACATAACCGGTTCATTTCCGTTTAAAAATCGGTTTGTACGTAACCAATTCATTACCGGTTGAAAATATATTCGTACATCGTTTCAGTTATACGGTGATCGCTATATAGCTGAAACGATATCTATCGATTTTGAGCCAATTAAAAATATTTTAATAACCGATTCAGAACCGTAGTATCAATAAACGAAGTTGATTTGTAATTATATTACTAACGGAATCCTAATCGATTCAATTCATAACCGATTCAAAATATACCGACTAGTGACATGTGATCAACCCACTTTCAAACCGATTAACATCAAAATCTACTCATACCGGAATATAAATTCCTGGATTGTAATCCACCTATAGCCTACCGATATTTAGACATTTGCATTCAATTAATATCGATTGTCGGAACGTATCAAATCAGTTTACTTACCGATTCGCAGCAAACTCTTGCAAACAGTCCATTAACAATTTATAACCGATTCGTAAGGGACAACCCGGCTAATACTAGTCTTACAAGCTGTGGTAAATTGACCCATTGATAATGTGTTAGGCTATGAAAACATTTTATTATACATATTATTATTTTATTATACATATATTTAGTACATATTCTTTATTTTACTTTTCCTTCTATCACTTACTTAACCGATTCGCTTTTGCTTTATTTTTCACTGTTTTCGCTTTTTATTTCACGAAATCTTTCTATTCTTTACTTCTTCGATATATCATTTCTGATCCATCAGCTGCCTCAACTATCGTCGGATCTTTTCCAAACCAAAATCTTCTCTTGACTATCTATAATAGCTATCCATTCCTCAGAGTCTCTTTAACCGTTTCAGTTAGTTTACGAATTTCTCTTATACCCGCTTCAAAAACGAATAACGCAAAATAATTTTCACTCCTTGATTTCTATAATCTCTTATTTCTCTTACCAACGCCAACTCCTCAAGCTATATGCAATTTCTATCATAACCGTTTCCGCTTCCTTAACCACTGTCAAATCCAAGTTTTTATACTATTCCCGATTGGATACAAACACATTTCTAACCTTTGCTTTGCATTCCCATTTAGCAATGCCACGCGGCATGCGCGCAAACGCAAACCACCAACCGCTTAACCGCTTACCCGCTAAATAAAAAATAAAAAAAAAAACACCAAACAAAAAATACCGCTAAAATCCGCTTACCCGACACACAAAGCTTTTCTAGCTAAAGCAGCGCTGTACCAGGTCTACACGAAACGGGTAAAGGTCAACTGTAAATTATAGAGCTAAGATGCAAATACCGGTTATGGTGCCACAACACACGCTCAACACATACACACACACACACACACATACACATGCATAACTATATTTTAGCTGTATATAAAGAAAATGCTTGAAATAAACTTATTTTATTCAAATTTATATAATTCGTTTAATATAATTGCTTTTGTTTGTAGAAGGCGAAACGGTTAACCGTTTCGAGTTCTTAAATCTTTCAGCAAAAATTTTATTAAATCAATATATTTATATATACTGCTTTTGTTGTATATACGCTAACGGTTTACCGCTTCACAATACGATATAGCCTTATTATTTAGCCGAAACGGTTATTGGCCAAAATGTTTAGATTAAGTCCTAAGCAACTGAATATGGAATAGAAAAAAATGGGCTCTAGAATTTATAGCTTTTTTACTATAAGTCACAAAAATCATAGCTAAAATGAATAGGCTAAGACTGAAGCAACTGTAAATGAATTGCAAAATATAGCTAGAATTTCCTATAATTTGTTAAAGCTTAAAAAATGGTTTTATATTCTATTTATTGACTTTTGTGTTAACTTTTTTTTTTTTTTTCGACTTGCTTTAATATTTGAATCTTTTCGCTGTATATAGCTAACTTTAAAGCTAACTCACAAAAATCATAGCTAAAGCGAACCGGTTAAGACTCAAACAGCTGTAAATTGAATGCAAAATATAGCTAGATTTGCCTATAATTTGCCAAAACGCAAAGAAAATTTTTATATATTTTGTACTGACTTTTATTTTAGCCTTTTTATGCTTTTTTTTGGCTATAATCTTCGAATCGTTTCGCTTCGAAATCAGAAAGCCCAATTTTCTTATCAATACACACATTAAATTTTATTAACATTCGAGCCTTGATCCTTAACCCTTTACCCATGGCCTTGGCCGGCCTTTTTACAGTAAAATGAAGGCACAAAAAATATGGAAAGCAAATTGAGAAAACCAGAAAATAAATATATATACATATATATAAAGTATATATATATATATATAGATATTTGATGTCTATATATATAGATATATATATATATAGCGCGCGCGTGTCGTGGGGGTGGCGGGGGAGTTGTAATGCGACCCCAAAATCAAAATTCGGAATCCGTTAAACCGGATTGCCGCTCGCAATTGGTTCGGGAACCCGTTACCCTGCATACCCTGAAGGTTCCCATGGCGGCGCCCCCCTTTCGTTGTTTGTTGGCAATAAAGTCAAAAGAATAAAGAAAATAAAATTCGTGATTAAAACGAGCAAAAGCCGCCCGGACTCCGCTGGACACCGTACGGCGTACGGCGTACGGCGGATGGACGGCTGGCTGGCTGGCTGCGATTCAGCAGCGTACATCCGGATAGGTGAAGGCCATGATGAGCACCAAGAAGACGGCCACCTGAACGATGCCCACCAGGACGGTCTTGAGCAGCTGCGTCTGCATGCGTGGCTCCAGCTCATGGCCGGGCGTCTTCAGAGGCGTCACCTGGCGATGATTGGCGCGTTTACGGGTCTTCAATGGCGACGGATTAACCTTCTTGGGCATCGGTTGCTCAGCGACAGCCTGTGGCTCATCCTTGTCTGGCAGTGCAACTAGAACTTCAGTAGCATCAGCAGCAGCTGGAGTGGCGGCAGCACTACCGTCAGCACTACCAGCAGCACTACCAGCACCATTTGCAGATTCAGCTGCTGCGGCTGCGGCTGCGGCTTCCTCGCTAGTTGGAGTCAGTATACGCTTCATGTCCTCAGTCGACCACGCCTTGTTCTTGGAGCGCACCGAGAGGCGATTGTAGGGCGCCATGTTGAACGGCAGCTGGCTGCCCAGAGGAATCTGCTGGGTGCAGGCACCGCCGCCCGTCTCCCTTGCCGGTGTGGGGGCTGGCACGTGCCCGGAGCGAATCATATGCTGCAGCTCCCCATAGCCCAGGATGCTGTTGAAGAACATGGCGTCGTGTTCGAGCAAGTTGAATGGACGCGCCGGCGAGAGCGGACGCAGCTGCTGGAGCAGCACATTCGGATTCTCGCGCAGCATGCGGAACGAGGTGCGCTGCAGTCCGCCGCCCTCGGCCAGCGGCATATAGAAGCACTGCAGCTCGTCGGCGGTCTTCAGCTCCGTCAGGGTCTTCGTCTCGATGCGGTACTCACGGGCGTACCCAAAGCTGCGCGCACGACAGGCAATCCGGGCCCGCTGCCAGGCCAGCGCCAGCTGCTCGAGGCGACGCCAGCCCAGCTGGACGATGGGCAGCGGCTCGCGGCCGGCCAGCGTGAGGGAGGAGCGTGGCGTATAGAACAGCATCGTGTCGCTGTCGACGGCCCTGGAGCTGAGCCCGCTGCCCCTGGCGCTGATCTGATTGTTGGCGCGCAGCGTTGCCTCCAGCTTCTCGCCCAGCTGTTGCAGCAGCTTGATCTCGCGCTGCAGTGTCGGTATATTCTGCCAGACCATTTCGATATCAATTTTGGGCTTACGTTGCTTTCGCTGCTGCTGCTGCTTCTGCTTCTGCTGCTCCTGCTCCTCCTGCTCGACCACATCCGTTTGCAGTGCCCGCTCGGCGAGATGGAGCAGATGCTGCTGACGGTGGCGCACATCGATCAAATGTGTCTGCAGCTCCAACTCCTGCTCATTCTCACGCTCGCCGTCCATGTCCAAGTCACGATCCAGATCCTGGCATCTGGTGCTGCTGCCATAGCTAAACGGATCGCTGTCCATCTCGATCAAGTCATCGCTAGGTAAGTCGCCCTCCTGCTGCTGCTGCTGCTGCTGCTGCGACTGCGACTGCTGCTGATCGACGCTGTCCACATTGTCGCCGCTGTTGCGCAATGGACGCACCATGAACAGCTCCTTCACCTTCTTCACGGGCTTGCACAGATAGACGAAGCTCTGGTTCTGCTCCTCTGGCAGCTGCGATGCCTTCGCCAGCTTCAGCTTGCGCAGCTCGTTGCTGCTGTTGTTCAAGCTGGTTGTGCTGCTGCTGCTGCCACTGCCGCTGCTGCCGCTGTTGGCGCTGCTGTTGCTGCTGTGGCTGCTGCTGCTGCAACTGTCGCCCATCACCAGCGGCTGTAGCTTCAGCTGCGGCTGCGGTGTCAACAGTGACGTTGGCTCTGGCTCCTGGTCCAGCTCCTGGTCCTGATCCTGGTCCTGATCCTGGTCCTGGTCTAGCTCTAAATCCAGCTCCAGCTCCCGCTCCAGCTCCCTCTGCAGCTCCAGTTCCAGCTGCTGCTGCTGCTTCTGCTGCTGCTGCTGCTTCAGCAGCTGTTTTTGCTGTTGCAGCTGCTGCTGTGTCTGTTGCTGCTTTGGTTGCGTTGCTGTCTTCTTCTTCATGGGCGACCTGCTGCGCCCGAATGCCACTCGGCTGCTGCCGATGATGGTAGTGACGGTAGTGGCAGCGTTGACGGTGTTGTGAATGCTTGCAATGTTGCTGTTGTTATTGTTATTGCTGTTGTTGGTGGTGGCCAGCTTGGCTACGCGCGGCAGGAATTGTCCGCGTCCGGGTGCTGCACGTCGATTGGCATTCGGCTCGACAGCAACAGTTGTTGCATTGCCCAAGGGTCGATTGGCCGTACTTAGATTGTTCAGGCGCTTGGATCGATTTCCAGTAGTAGCTGAGGAAGGGAGAGGATTAGATGTGGATAGTGAAAATATGATAAACTAATGGAATATGCTATGGAAGTAGGGGTGGTACTCAGAGAGGGACACATAATCGAAGACCTATATCAGTAATATCACGATTTGTATAGAAATATACAGATACACACATACACACACACATATTCATATAAGAGCTACTCTATGGGACATTGGCTGCTGAAGAAGCTTTGTTCTAGATGTACCAAGTACCAAGATGTACCAAATTCATCTGTGTATTTGCCAAAGTCCTATAAGCTATGTAGCTTTGAGGATTGAGGAAGGAGGAAGGAGGAAGGAGGAAGGAGGAAGGAGGAGGAAGGAGGAGGAAGGAGGAAGGAGGAAGGAGGAAGGAGGAAGGAGGAAGGAGAAGAAACGTGTGTAGATCAACTGAGCGCATATAAGATCTGCCCAGCTTCCTTCCTGAATAGTTAATTGAGCTTCAGTTTTTAGTGGATTAAAGGCGACCTTACAGATCCGCAGAATATCCCAAGCCTGATACAGACTCTGGCAGACAGACAGACCCTAAGGGAACCTATTAGGCCGCTACCTACTTTCCAGATGTTGCGCTTACCATTTGGAGTACGCTGCATTAGTTCTGTACGGGTGAAGGTGGTCTTGCGGCCTGTGCCCAAGGTATTTCCCATGCCGGCTTGAGGACCGGCCACTTGTAGCACCTGGGGCAGCCCATCGTTCTCCCGGTCGTTTCGCAGATGATTGAATCGTGGTCGATTCATTTTCATGCTCTAGATCCTTGCCGATTTGATCATCAACCGTTTCTGTTGCCTGTTTTCTTTTTTGTTCGGTTGCGTTTGCGTTTAACTTTGGGATTTTAAGGTTCGTTGGTTTTCCCTGCCAACGATCTGTCGCTTCTTATGTGTGCGTGTGTGCCTGTATCTGTGTCTGTGTGCGCGTACGTGTCACTATGTGTATATAGGAAAATCGACTCTGTCCAAAAGAAAAACGTGTTACTGATCGATGAAAAATATTTTTAATCCGGAGCTCAATTGATATCCATATCGAAATGAATGTATACACACTGTGAAAGCAAAGGCATATGCCCTAGGTTTCCTTGTTGACATTTCGTATGTTTCAAAAGGGATGTAGATCTATGCTTTTAGGCATAAAGTCTCTAACAAAGTTGTGCTCACCGAGTTATTTAAGTATTGTGGTAACACGAACACCCTCATTCAGTGCGAATTAAATGGTAGACTATCGGGTGCGTGTCAAATTTGCTTATGAGTCCACATAAATCCCCTGGAGAGCTATTTACACTGGTATATGTTTTAGTAGACGTAGCTGCTCTACCTTGTACCCATAGCAGCTCTACCAGAGGCTCTACCGAGCTCATTTCTTCTTATTATTAGAGAGCACACTGCTGCATTACGTCATATTATATGCGTGCATATGGAGAGAGATCTTGGACAATGTTATACAAACCTTGTTCTTTCTCCTTCCTACAAAGATTCTACAGATGGCGAATAAAATTAGTGAATCTCAAGAAACTTCAATTTGGATACAAGTTAACTCTACCAAGTTTACTGTAGCTAAAACAAAGCTGAGCGAATTGTGTAAACTTCTAAGAATTGTATATCCCTTACTTCTCTATATCTATACAAAATGAAGACGGTTTCCAACAAAAGTTGATTCCCCCAATGTATCTAGAACAGATGCAAATATTCAAATATTCAAATTTTTATTATATTCATTCAACACATTTCATTCGCCATGGATATCATATAGTTGGAAAGCAATTGTATAAGCTATGATGGAGATGAGTAACGCGTAATGCGTAGAGCTTCGCGCTGCAGCATTTCGTACTGTTGGTCTATAAGACTCGAGTCGTCATTCGTGTCTAACCGAAAGCTAGGCTTCCTTGACGGACGTCGCACCTGGTGGGTGGCGCGATCTGGTTGACTCGGTTTCCTCGGTCGCCTGGGTTCGTAGAGGTTGGAGATGTGACAGCAGTTCGGCTGGGCTCGACCAAATGGATAGATGCTGCTAACGGGCCCCGGCACAAAGGCGGGCTGCAATCGATTCGGCTTATTGTGCGATCGTATGTCGATCCAGTGGTGACGATGCAGCTCCTGCCTCTTGAGATCGTCCGCGAAACGCACTTCAGGCATGACAGAAAGTGTCAGAGAATAAGGGTTTTTAAAAAATACTAAGAATTTTGAATATATACAAATGCCTGAAATTCATAGCTCGGCCTACTCTAAGCAAATCTAAAGAGCAACGAGTTGAAATTAAGTAAAAAGCTATTCTAAGAGGAGCTACATATGTATGGGCTGCTGATTTCTCTTATAATTCGCAACTGGTTCAAGCACAAAGCTTACTTGGTTCAAGGGAGATAATAGGGCAAAAAGACGCTCTGGCGCTTCCTCAATAAAAAATAAAAAAAAAAAAAAAAAAAAAAAAAAAAAAGTAGAAAGCTGTGTCAGAGCTCCGGTAACTCTTCTTTAGAACATTTCTTTTAGGCGTCTCAATTCAAATAATACTACAAAAATGTTTTTAAAAAATATATTTTTAAACCAAAATTTTAACAGATATTCGTTCAGTTCATTTAAAAAAGAAAAATAGATTTTTTAGATTTAAAAACAAAAAAAAAATTATAAAATACACAGAATACCAAGCAGTATACATATTCTAGAGTTTATTAGAGATTTTCTAGTATTTTAGTATATTTTGTATTACTTAAAGAAATATAGAATACGAATAAGAATTTTTATTTTTTTTAAATTTTTTAGTGAGTATATATTTTATATAAACACATTAATTGCGAATACCTGGTATTTTTATATATAGTACTATTTAACATATAGTTACTAAGATTAAAAAAAAAAAAAAAAAAAAAAAAAAAAAATATATATATATATATATATATATATATATATATATATATATATATATATATATATATATATATATATATATTTATGTATATAACACTTATTCATATGGTTAGTGCTTGCATCTATTGCAGTGCTTTAGTATTTAGTTTTTTTTTAGTATTTTCTTCAATTAAAAAATTAAGCCTTTATATATATTTTCATATTTAACGATCCCTTAATCAGTTTGTTCAAGGTCAAGAAGAAAGCGCTTGTGCTTAAAGCCCCGTTAACTCGGCAAACTTACGCTAAATCTAACCACTATAATCAATTTGTTTACACTCTCTTTTGCTCTCCCCATTCGTAAACGTTGCAGAGATCAAAAGTGCATTGGTGCTCCGGCCTTCCGTATGCTGCCCGGCATCGACAATTGGTGTGAGATCAATTGCTTGCGCTATCCGCCCAACTGCCCGGAGACTGCCTGCCACTGTCCGTAAGTATACCTCTCTCTCTCTCTCTCTCTCTTTATCAGTGCCTCTCTTGATGCGCTCTTTCTCTTTCGTTGCAGGCAAGAGTGCGTGGCCATTGGCGAGCTGGAGGGACGTGAAGGCGCCGATACCTACTGCATGGACGAGTGCCTCAATTACAAATCGGAATGCCCGCGCGATAGGTGTCGCTGTTTCTAGAGAGAGAGAGAGAGAGGGAGATACACACACACACACACACACAGAAACAGAGACAGATAGAGAGTGCGAGAGCGAGAGCGAGAGCGAGGTATACCAATTAGCTGTGCTGCTGCCCCATTGCCAGATGAAGACAAAGTTTTGACGAAATGTAATTGAAATTTATAGCTCCATTTGAATGCGAATATATATCTAGATGTATATCCCCAGATATATATAGACATATATTAAACCGATGAATGTGAATGTGAATACCAAGAGTTTTATTTTAATTTTCTATATATACATCTATCTATTATCCATTTAGAGAGTGCCTAGGCTATTTTTTTTTTATTCCTCTTTTTACTTTAATTTATTTTTTTTGCTGTTGGGCTCCTTGGCCAGCTGGCGTTTGGTTCACTTGTGCTCTATGCCATCCTCGTAGAGGAATGGACGCGTGAACGCCTCCAGCAGATCACGTTGCTCTCTCAGGCGTCGCAGCTCCGACAGGGGATCCGCCGTCGAGATGCGACGCACACGGAACAGCGTGGACACCGTCCCAGCGATCTGACTCCAACGTTCGCTGGCACGTGATCGCATCACGTTGGCGCACAGATAATGATTGCGTCGCTCCTCCACTGGCTGACGGGTGGCACGAGCATAGTTCGCTGCAGCAGCTCCGGCAGCTGCTGCCGACATTGAGCCTGTGCCGGTTCCAATTCTAGTTCCGATTTCGGCATTGGTACCGGCTACAGCGCCTGCCAATGGGTGGCTCTTTGACGCTAATCCCGGTGCCATTTTGAATGGCTCGCTGCGTATAAGGACCTCGGCCAGCTCCTCGCGAGCATCGTCCTCGGAATCTTCGAGCGGCAGAGCCGCACAGCTGCCGCTGTTGACATCGCTAACGTGGGCAAAACTGGATGCAATGCGTCTCAACGAGGCGGTCGGCGGCGGTGCAGCCGAGGTCGGATGGACAACGTTCTGAAAGGGATTTGACTCGGAGCAGGAGGTGTGGGCGCGACTGCGCAATCGACCCAAATTCATGTTGGATAGCTTGTTGCCGTAGCTAGTGCGCAGCTCGGCGCGCTGGCGTCGCGCCTCCTCCGAGCCAATCGCCAACTTCTTGCCCAGCGGCATGCTCCTGCTGCTGCTCCTGCTAATACTGCTGCTCCTATTCCCACTTACTGGGATGCTGTGGCTGCTGCTGCTCCTGCTGCTGCTGCTTCTACTGCTGCTTATGCCAAATTTAGTATCAATCGACACTTACCCAAAAACTTTTGCCGAAATGTTCACTGTGAATTTTGATCAGAGACTGCTCTGTTTCAGCTCCATTCCAGCCACCAGCCACAGCAAATCCAAGGCCAGCCTCGATAACATATTGCCCAGCTCCAAGTTCTGTCCACCTTTCGAAACAAATGGGAAACGAGTTATGAGACTCGAAGTGGATTCAACTTACCTCGAAATGAGCGTATAAGTTAGAATATAAGTGAGAGTATAAGTTGCAATATAAGAGACTATTAATAGTCGAAGTAAATGCAGAAATAGAAATAGAAGTAGAAGTAGAAGTAGAAGTAGAAGTAGAAGTAGAAGTAGAAGTAGAAGTAGAAGTAGAAATAGAAGTAGAAGTAGAAGTAGAAGTAGAAGTAGAAGTAGAAGTAGAAGTAGAAGCAGAAGCAGAAGTGGAAGTAGAAGAGTAGAAGTAGAAGTGGAAGCAGAAGCAGAAGTGGAAGTGGGAGAAGTGGAAGTAGAAGTAGAAGTAGAAGCAGAAGAGTGAGCAGAAGCAGAAGAGTAGAAGTAGAAGTGAGAAGAAAGTGAAGTGAAGTGGAAGAAGTGGAAGCAGAAGTGGAAGTGGAAGTGAAGTAGAAGCAGAAGCAGAAGCAGAAGCAGTGAAGTGAGTGGCAGAGTAGGAGGTGGAAGTAGAAGCAGAAGTAGAAGTAGAAGTAGAAGTGAAGTGAGAAGCAGAAGTAGAAGCAGAAGCAGAAGTGGAAGCAGAAGTAGAAGTGAGAAGCAGAAGCAGAAGTGAGAAGCAGAAGTGGAGTGGGAGAAGCAGTAGAGAAGCAGAAGCAGAAGCAGAAGTAGAAGCAGAAGCAGAAGTAGAAGTGGAAGTGGGAAGTAGAAGCTGAAGTAGAAGCAGAAGTAGAAGTAGAAGCAGAAGCAGAAGCAGAAGTAGAAGTGAAGTAGAAGCAGAAGTAGAAGTGGAAGCAGAAGTAGAAGTAGAAGTAGAAGTAGAAGCAGAAGTAGAAGTAGAAGTAGAAGCAGAAGAGAGAAGTAGAAGCAGAAGTAGAAGTAGAAGTAGAAGTAGAAGTAGAAGTAGAAGTAGAAGTAGAAGTAGAAGTAGAAGTAGAAGTAGAAGTAGAAGTAGAAGTAGAAGTAGAAGTAGAAGTAGAAGTAAAAATATAATTGATATTGAAATTACAAGTAGAAGGCAATGGAAGCTTATCGGGAGGATATGCGATTAGTCATACAGATGGACGCTGGGCTTCATTCACTGCTAAGCACATACATATATATTATACAATATTAACTAAATGATAACGGTTCGGTACTTGGAAAAATATATAGTATATGTATAATATATGTATTGTAAACGTGTAGCTTAAACATCTAGTTAAATAAGAACTGAATGCAATAGCCGCCTAGAACATCAACTTTTTCTTCTGAGGCAGAAAGTTGGTTCGGACTGTCGTCTCGACCAATTTACGTTTGAGTGCAGGCTTCTCGGTGTTGGCGCCCTCCTTGAGGGCCAATATGGACGACGGCATGGGCAGCTTGGGGCCAACGGTGGGCGCAGGCTTATTGCGAAAATAGGGCATACTCAGCGCCTCCCGGCACGAGCAACGCTTGAGGGGATTCATGGCAAAGAGACGGCGCATCAGAGTGATCATATCATTGCCGGCGGCTGTGAAGATATTTGGTAGGGGCGTGCCCACAAAGTGACGGAACTGCAAATAGTCGTGGAGTTTGCTGATATACGGCCATTCGGCTTCTGTGGGTGTGCCCAAGACGCTGAATATCCGCGTCAGCTGATCCAGATCCGAATCGCCGGGCAGAAAGGGTACGCGCAACATCAGCTCAGCCAGTATGCAGCCAACGGCCCACATGTCCACACCGGTTCCATACTGCCGGGCACCAAAGAGCAGCTCCGGCGAGCGATACCAGCGCGTGACCACGTGATGGGTATAGATGCGATTGGGCGATCCAAAACTCTTGGCCAGACCGAAATCACCAATTTTTAAGATGCCATCGCTGTTCACTAGCAAATTGTTGGGCTTCAGATCGCGATGCAGGATCCAATTGACGTGCAGATATTCGAGGCCACGTAGCGTCATGATCGCATATGCCTTGATGTTCGCCTGTGTGAGTATGATCTTGTTGTCCTTGATGATGACCTCAAGGTCGGTGTCCATGAAATCAAAGACAAGCGACACATTCGACAGCTGGCCAAAGACATCGACGAGTCCAATGATGTTCTCGTGCTGCAGCTCCTGCAGTATCTTAATTTCGCGCAATGCTGTGCGATTGATGCCATCGCGTGCCTCGTCACGGCTGCCCTTCTTAATCTTCTTAACGGCCACAATTTGGCTGGTGACGGTGTCGCGCGCCTTGTACACAATGGCGAACTACAACAAAATGATGGTCAACTCAACATGTGCGCATATTCAAAATGCATATTTAAGGAATTGCTTACCTGACCCTCGCCCAGAAAGGACAGCTTGGCATAGCGATCCTTTTTGTCATCGCCCAGTGGCAGCATTTGAGCGTTTATTCATAAAATATGATTTGACAAACGCTAAGCTGCACGATTCGCCCAGCGAACTGGCGAATGCGCTACCAACAGTTTGTCAAATTATATCGATGAGCCATATTATGGCGATGATTCGAATGATATCGATGAGCCGGCTTTTTTAGCGATTGAACAAATTATATCGATGTGCCCGCATTATATCGATAGACAGATACCAATTGTGGAATATTAGTGCTAAAAGCACGGTCGCAGTGAAACGAGCACTGAAAACTCAACACATCGATATGTTTGGTCGGCATGACTGCCAAATTAATCCATAATAGAAGCAATACCGTGGTCATTTGTGTCCGTGCTGTTGAAAGATACATCTAGTTTGTGTGCTCTTTGCTAATTGTTGAAACAGAAAGAAAGCCAGCATGTAAGTAAACCCAAAATCAGCTATAAACCTTAAGAAGTGTACTGTAAAAGACATGCATGACAATTTTTGCAAAGCTTCTCGCAAATGCATTTGATGACGCCGCCTCTGAAAACTATCGGTGGACGACGGTCTGGGGATTGTCACTGCCTACAAATGCTCATTTCAATTCAATTGAACATACGTTTCTGCATGTGTGCATAAAACTCGAACTCGCCCATTTGCAGAAACTGCTGCTAGTTAAACTAACTATTTGGCTAGGGTTTTAATTTTTGTTTGTTTAGAAGGCCGGCGACACGACGTGGTGAAGCCGCGTGCGCTTTGCTCAGATTCGGAACACTGTGGGCCATGCCAATGTGCAGCAATGCACACATTCACATTCACATTTACACATTTACAGCAAATGTGAACAAACATCAGTTCGCATAATTTGTTCATTTGCAAATGCAAAATACATCTGATATACCCGACAGAGCAACCCAGCAAATAATTGAGGTTAAAAACGAAAACGCAAATTTTGCGTCATGTTTCAGACTAGCGCGTGTATTGGCGTCTGTTAGCCGTATGTGTGAGTGTAAGTGTGTGCCCGTGTGAATGTGTATGTGAATGTTTGTCTGCAATAGCCCAAGTGTGTATGTACAGGTGTGTGAGCCTATGCGCTACCATTTGTTATTCGGCAGTATAAATAATAATACGGCACTCGCCCAAACATTTGCATTGCTTTGCTTCTCATCTGCATTAACTGTGCATCGGCACTTGGCTAGCTCTCATCCATATTCCCTTTGTGCGTTTACATTTTGGCGCGCTTTAGTTGCGTCCCTGCAGCCACTAGCTTACATTGCGCTTGCTCGCTCGCACACTCAGCATGCTGCGCTGCTCTGGCTCTTGTTCTTGTTATAGTGTTAAGTATCTGCATGTGTGCCTGTGTGCCGCGTCTGTGCCCAAGCTACTTACACGCATGTATGTGTATACATATATGCATATGCATATGTATGTGTGCGCTGATTCAGCTGAGAAAAGCATTTCATCGAAATCTGTAAATTATGCTTGTATGACACTCGATTTGTTTTCGTTTGACTCACATTTCATATGCGGAATTGCGTATATTAGCATCTCTGAATTCATTAAACATGAATTTGTGCATATGTATGTGTATGCGTAGGTGCTTTTGCTGTATGAAGATCTACGCTAATGTGAAATTTAAAGATGTGTAGATTGTCCGGTTCAGGCCAGAAGGCTTGTTCACTTCTTTTTTGCTTAGAAATATTTGTTAAGAATTATTATTTAATTCTTAATAAGTTCTTTTTGGACTCTCCTCATCCGAAGAGCTATCATAGGAGCTGCAAGTATTTATAGTGATAATTGGCGCATATTAATAATATTTGAATTTCATTCTGTTGTTTATAGATATTTTCGATTCAGGAATCGAGTTAACCCGACTGAAATGCTTATCTTAGCAAAAAATTTGTTTATTTGCTTGAAATTACGACGATCGCCAATGGAATTAGATTTATAAACAATGTTCGCAAGATCTCCATAGCATTTTTCTGTAAAATGTTTCTCCTTATGTTCTGCTGAAATATACATATGCATAAGGGTTGCATTTGTGAGCAGCGAACGTATCATTCTACTATTTACGCTTACATAAATCCGACAAGAGCAACAACAACAGCAACGGCAACGGCAGCCTCCTCTCACGGCATTGTCGCATGCTACCTGCCTGCACACAAAACACACACATACTCATACGCATGACGGCAGCTGCAGTTTTGATGGCCTATGGTTCGCTCTCTTGCAGTGGCTGCTTCCTTCCTTTCTCTCGCTCTCTCGAACAGCTGTTGTTGTCCTTTGGCGCGCTTTACAGCTACCTTTGCCGCTCCTGCTTTGACCTTTACATTTCGTATCTGGTGCGCAGCCCGCACAATTCACAGTCGCATTGCGCTCCTCGCACGCTTAACATCAGCCTCGAAGTGTGAAGAAATAGTTTCCCAATTTTGTTTTTTTTGTTTTGTTTTTTTTTTTTTTTTTTTTTGTTGATTAAATCTATAATATTTGTGTTTTCTATCAAATCAAAATCGGAATCGTATCGAAAACTAATTGAAACCTATTTTATTATTGCAAGCAGCAGCCAGCAAATCAGCAGCAGTGGAGAGCAGAACATAAGTATAGCAGAAAAGCACAAGCGAAACACACAGGAAAACAAGTAAAACAGCAGAAACATGGCTCAGGAAGGACAGGATATGCCCACATTCAAGTGCGTGCTGGTCGGCGATGGCGGCACTGGAAAGACAACATTCGTCAAACGTCACATGACCGGCGAATTCGAGAAGAAATATGTGGCCACACTGGGCGTGGAGGTGCATCCATTGATCTTCCATACCAATCGCGGTGCGATCCGTTTCAATGTATGGGACACAGCTGGCCAGGAGAAATTTGGCGGACTACGCGATGGCTATTACATTCAGGGCCAATGCGCTGTCATCATGTTCGATGTAACATCGCGTGTCACCTACAAGAATGTGCCCAACTGGCACAGAGATCTGGTGCGCGTCTGCGAGAATATACCCATTGTCCTCTGTGGCAACAAGGTTGACATCAAGGATCGCAAGGTCAAAGCCAAAAGCATTGTGTTTCACCGAAAGAAAAATTTGCAGGTAAGTTTTCCTTATGTTAATCAAGCTCACTTTCAAAATTAATCGGTCCATTTTCTCTTTTGGCATGAGTAAAGGCAGTAAACAATGAATTAGACAGAGATGGAGCATAGCTGACAGGGAAAGAGAGAATGCTGCATAGTCTAGAGCAGTCTAGATATAGATCGAACATATTATTAGAGAATGTGATATATTGTTATTTAGCAAATATTGCTAGCATTTGTCCATTCAAGATAAATAGTTATATATGTATTCACAGTTGTTAAGTGAAACATGATAGAAATGTGTTCGGCTCTCGAATGTTGTTAGCTCATATAGTAGAAGCTTATGTTTCCTTACCCTTGTTATCCCTTCCTTATGCATTATTTCGCTTTCTTAAAACAATTTGTCAAACAAAGTGAAGTAAGATCGTCAAGTCAGCTCGAATATGGAGTCTGAAAATTGAATACCAAGAAATAAGAGATAAGGTGTTCATTGAATGTGTATAAACAGTAATCAGTAAGGCAAGACTTCTGGAATGGGAATACATACACAAATCATAATATGAGATGTAGATTCTAGATTCTATAAATAGACCTTTATAAATAGATATCAGATGTGCAAAAGATTTTTCTGGAATCCATTACATATAACCGTAAATGAGATATATATTGAATCGAAAGAAAGGAATGCATATAGATTGCCATAGATCAGATTTGCAACCCAAATATTGAGTAGCTTCTAGTTTTTTAAATAATATCAAGTATATGCAATGCATTTGTTTATAAACAGCTCAGAAATTAGGTAAGCAGATTATAGTATGGATTCTACCATTGAATATAACTAGGTAATAGAATCCATAAAATTTGAGCCATTGTAGAAATTGTATTGCCATATAAGACTTTAAGCTGTTGAGGTCTGCTCTATTTGCATTTCGATTTCCTCTAACTTGACTAATTCCCCATCCATTTCTTTCTACTTGCAGTACTACGATATCTCTGCAAAGTCGAATTACAACTTTGAGAAACCATTCCTTTGGCTGGCCCGCAAGCTGGTCGGTGATCCAAATCTGGAGTTCGTAGCAATGCCGGCGCTGCTGCCACCGGAGGTCAAAATGGATAAAGACTGGCAGCTCCAGATCGAGCGTGACTTGCAGGAGGCGCAGGCGACCGCCTTGCCTGATGAGGATGAGGATCTATAAGCATATTAGTTTACAAATGAATTCAAAACAAAATATAATTGAGAGAAAAAAAGAAAAAAACCAACTTACAAACTAAGAAAAGAAAAAATAATAAAAAAAAAAAGAGAATAAACGGAAATTTTGGAAAGAACAACAGCAACAACAGCAAGATCAAGAACTAGAGCTTTGTGAAGAACAACAGCAGAACAACATGAGGAGAAAATGAAGCGCTGGGATTAAAATATAAGGAGTTGTATATCTACACTACACACACATACACATATAGCAGCAAGCACACACACACACACACAGAGAGTGTGTGTATTAGAGGGTTGTTTCCAAACATATTATCATGTTGATAATGCAGGTCTAATTTTTTTTTTTTTTTTTTTTTTATATATAATTTTAATTTCGGATTTCACTCATTCGCTTTTGGTTTGACTTCGGCTAGACTTTTTCGTGACACACACATACACACAAAACTTTTACGTTGGCCAGAAGCTAACAAAGGAAAATGAGAGGAGTATAAGAAAGCATGATATCCCCGAAGGCAGAAAATGGAAACAAACAAAACAACACAACAATGAAACATTAATTAAGAAAATTAAGCAAAAATTGTCAATGGCATCAAATTATCAGCTTAGCTAAATTGTGAAATTTAGAAGTCATAAATAGGTTACACTGCAACAACAATAATAATAATAATAATAATAACAACAACAACAACGGGAGCATTGACAACACAACAACAACTACAAATTATTGCGATTGAAATGGATGAATAAACAGCTAAGATTAATAAAAATGAAAACACAAAGAACTTGAATGGATTAGAATTTAGTAATTTGAAAATATTTGATTGATTGATTGAATTGGAGAGAGTCTTTAACGATGTATGTAGAATTGTTATCCAAAGCTAAATATTGTCATTTAGGCTGATTGATTGATTGATGCTTACTAAATTGGTGTTGTATTAGAGATGAGTCACTGATTAATACAGTTTGTATAATATGATCCCAGTATTGTATGATCCTAGTTTCTAATTTGCTTTACATTAAGTTAGCTGGAACCTTGATTGACGTGATTAGCCGCAGCAGATAAGTGAAGCCTGTATAATCCTAGTTTCTATTTTATTTAATACTAAGTTTAGTTGTTGCCTGTTCGATTGATGGAGCCTTGATTGACAGGAACTATTATATCTGATATAGCACTTAGTTCAGCTGTTGATGGATGGAAATGGCCAGTTTGAATATGGAATATGCACAGGAATAGGAAGGACACTTTTGACCCAAACACACATTTCTCTCGCTTGGCTGCTTGACTTATGGAGATTGATTAGAGAGTAGCCACACTTTGATAAGCAGTTGACTGATGCAGTTTTGCAGTGCAGTGATTGAACAGGAACGGCGAGGACACTTTAAGCCATATAAACTAAACTTGTACAACCCAAACACATATTTATTGTATACACACTATGTTTATCTCTTGGCTGATTGATTGACGACGAGCACAAAACTTTTTGAGCACTAGCGTTTGATTGAGAGGAATAAGAAGAGCGCGTTTTGAGATAAAAGACAAAAATTTATTGCATATTTGTGTTGAATGCTAAGCACAATAGTGATTGTCTAGCTGTGGATTGATAACTTGATTGATTAATATTGGAATCGATTGATGTAGCAGCTGTCTAGGGGCACTTGACACAGCAGGCGGGAAAGACGCCTGTGTAGCGCTGCTTGTTGTGGCAGGTGACTTTCTGGTCGCTGCATCTGTTGATCAGACGGGTTAGATCAAAGCACTATATATGCATATACATATGTATCTAAATCTGTACTCACTCCTCGACGACGGTCTTGAACGTGTCCGAGCAGATGGCGCGCTTCAGGCACTTGCCCTCCTTGCCGAAATCAACGTAGTCCTGGCCCTTCTTCAGCAACGGCAAATACTTGAGGAACACCGTCTCGTCCTCGGCGTTGCGGTAGGTGCACACCGGCTCGCTCACTGCAGAAAGAAATCAGGACCAATATCCATTAGTTTGACTTTGGTTCGGATCGTGCAGCTCGGTCGGCCGGCCTCACATTTGTGCGACATCACCAGCTGCAACAGCAGCAACATCAGACCAACTATTGCCCAGGCGTGACGCATCTTTTGTTTATTGGATCTTCGGATCGACTAAAGCCCATCGGCTCAACCTGTTTGCTATATATACCCCCAACTAGATCCAGCAACTGATGCGCAAATTTACAATTCTAATTTGCAAAGCAGACACACACACACACACGAAAATATAAGTAACAATGCCGAGCTGCGGCTTTCCAGACTCAAACTGTGCGCTACAGAGAGCTTTATCATTAAGATTCCCTTGCGCTTTTAGAATCAGCTATACTGGGAAGATATTACTCATATCTATTAAATCTCTGCAACTTTTTGCAATTTGTATTTGAATTTTAATTAATATAATAATTAATTATTTAAAAATTCAATTTTATTACAAATTTCTATACATATCTAGAATTTTTAATTTAGATTTAATTATTTCATTTTTAAATAGAAAATTTGTACGGAAAAGTTTAACAAAAAAGATTTCTTTAGAAATTTCTTTTCTAGAAAATTTGACATATTGAAATATTTTGATTATTTCATTTTATTTTTACAAAATTGAAGGCTAAAATCTCAATAATTGACTTTCAACCTTAAACAAATTACTCGAAAACAAAACCCAAAATTGCTTTGTTTAATTCTTGATTGAATTTTTTAAAAGCAATTTTTGAACTTGGCGTTAATATATGATATTACTTATATTACTAAATAAACAAATATAAAATAAAATAAAATAAATAAAGCATATTCATGGATTTCTTTATTTAGGGATTTATATAAATAATTTGCAGGTCTTTAGCTCTTATAGGTGTTGAGATCGACGCGTTGAAACATGCGGACAGATAGACACACAGCACTAAGGGCAGCGCTAAAGCGACTCAGCTTGTCGTCCTGATCCCGACTATATATACTTTATGGGGCCTGCCACGCCTCCTTCTATCTTGATTTCCCATATTCGATGGGTTTAAGGTGTAAAAATGTCATCCACCTTTGTTTTTCTACCCAAATAAATATAAATATTTATATATGATATGATATATATTTATTATATAGTATAGTCTAAGTCTTGTAATAAAATGAATTTTTGGGGCTTCATGCCCTGGCGAGGCGCTTTGCAGCGCATTTGGGATCTTGCGTCGTTGGTTCTCTGATCTGGCTCTGATTTGCTGCTAGCACAATTCGCATTTGAATTGTTTAATTGTTCACTATTTAGTCGGTCTCCTTCGGCCGTCCCCTCGGTAGATGCACGACCGCCGCTTGGTCCGCTCAGCTCTGATTGAGTTAATTGCGTTTAAAGTTGATTTTCTGATGCTTTCTTTCTATTCGACTCATCTGTTGAGCTGCCCTTAAAAAGCGTAAAAGTGCAGCCTATAAACACTAATTGAATGAATAATACTTGAACTACATTTGAGCTATTGACAAATAGAGCTGACTTTCAGGGGGTACACATATAGCAGTATATAGCTGAGATATAGGCGAGGATGAGTGTCAAACATTTATCTCTATAATGTGTGAGGTTTTAGAAGAGTTGACTTTGGCATAGATCAGCTGGAAGCATGTTTGACGGGCTTTTACTCTATGGTATATTACAAGAAAGATCTCTAGATTAATCTCGAGGTAAGTTTACAAACTGCATCTTAACATCTAATTGGATCTGTGTCAAGTTTTTCTAAGTTTCGTACATTCGATCTTCGAATCATGTCCCGAAAAACAGATGTCGCCTATCAATTATATGATATTCCCTTGGAAAGGCAGTAACTAAGTTCTAAGTATAATATTTTTATATTTCTCATATATATATGTATATATATTGTGTATGTTTGACAATCAACAGCTGTTTTAATACCAATTGGAAAATTATAAGTTTATTTTAAGGTATTTGTAATACAATACATAGGAAAAAAATATGATGTGTGCTAAATATTGTGTATCATTTTAAAGACTTTATATCATTCGTGTCCGGTTTCTGGCAGATCAACTTGGGGCAGCAATGCGGAAAAATGCGAGTCATATCGGAACCAATTTTACAGTTCTTCTCTGGCACCAGATTGTGTCGACCGCAACTATGGATAGAGATGTAGAGCATATAGTAGGGAGTTAATTCGAGAGAGAGAGAAAGATGAAGAAAGAGGATTAGCGAGAGAGAGAGAGAGAGAAACACGACAGAAGTTTAGGTATATTAGTTGAAATGTTTTACAGGTAATATATGGATATATGTAGATACAAATATATGGAAAGATCGATAGATAGATATTTAGATACATACATGGATTTTTAGATAGATAGGTAGATTGGTATATAGATATATAGATAAAGAGATTGTTAGATGGACAGATGGATAGATTATTAGATAGATAGATTGATGGATCGATAGATAAACAGATTTACAGAATAATAGATAGATAGATTGATAGGTAGATACCTCATAAACTGTCTTTACAACATATACATATGTATATATGAAGGCACATGACTATAGTATTATATAGTACATATCATAAGACATATGATGATATTCATATAGTACGTCATATAAAAAAGTATACCAAATTGTATATGTACATATAAATACCATGTATGAATGAACAACTATGATATACAACTTTAATAAAACAAGACTATATTATAAAGATTAATGTATATAGGAGACTTACAATTCGATTTCTAGCACATAGTCCGGTCGACAGAAGAATGACTTGCAGTGGCCCTCGCGGTTGATGGGCTTGTAGGACTGATACTTGGGTATGGGCTGCTTCAGCTCTTCAAAGTAACATTGTCCCGGATAATCTAAATAGATATTATTAGATCTATGTCTCTCTCTCTCTCTCTCTCTCTCTCTCTCTCTCTTTCTTTCTTTCTCCCTCACCTGGATGTATGGCACTGGGGCGATATCTCAGATCGGCACTAGAATCGGAACAGAGCAAAGCCAGCAGCAGCAGCGGCAGCATGGGCACGCCATGGCAGCCAATGCCCAGTCCAGATCTTATTGGTATTACCATGGCTGGCGAACTGGACGAAGCAGGAGAAGAGGAAGCGAACACAAAGCCGAAGGAAAGAGGCAAAAATAAAGTTGCTCAGCGGACGCCGAACGTGCGACTGAGTCAATTGCAATTAATTGTTGTTGCTTTTATATAAAATTAATTAATAAAGCTCGGCTGTAACTGTATCTGTGCATCTGTGTATCTATGTAGCTGTATCCGAATATGTGGCATACATATGCTTTAGCTTTTGTCTTGCTTTTGTCATTGTTGTTGTTGTTATTGTTGTTGCTTTTGATCTAGTTTGCATTAATTAAGCACAAGCCGCCAGCCCTGAAAGCGAGAGTCCATTGAAGCGGGGGCGTCAACAACTAAATATACTACTTGAAAGAGTAAATACTACAAGTGAGCGAAGTTGGCATGCGCGACGGGCAGATACCCTGCACGGCCTGGGAGATCAAAGAGACCGAGAGAGAGAGAGAGAGAGAGAACGAGGAACAAAACTGAAATGTAGTGAATATACTTGACTGAGCGATAGTTCAGCCAGCGGGCCTGCTCGACTTGCAGATACCCTGTAATGAGCTATCAGTTCGCTCAGGCTTGGCGTATGGATTAAATATGAACGGTAAACGATTTCTGCCATATCCAACTACAGCACAGCTAAGCCAGTGGACATACTCGACTAGCAGATGCCCTGCAAAAAATGAGAAACCCATCTTAAATCAACTCTCATTGATTATGAAGCAAAATAAATTTTTGTTTACTATAAAAAGTAATCTATAGCCAAACTAGAGGGCATAGTCGACCATTAGATACCCTGTTCAATGCAGACGGCTTGTAAAACGTAATTTTCATTTATGAAAACTGAGAGCTAACTACTTATATTATATTAAATTAGAGCTGAGTTGATATGCTCGACTAGTAGATACCCTGTTAAGAGAAAAAAAGTGGGTAAGCTAGCTTCACTTTATTATAAAGCGAATCAAATCAAAAAATGTTTTTACTGCTAAAAACTAAACTTGAGATAGTCATGTTCGACTATCTAATACCCTGTTACGTGACTACAAATCGTTAAAAAGTGGCATATTAATTGAAATGCAATGTAAATCACCTAGAGTAGAGCAAAACATTAGCGCAATGGGCATTCATAGAGTATCATGCTCACTAGTATGATCGTTTGCCAGACACCTCATTTGATGTGAAAGTTTGTTAGATCTTAGAAATAAATGAAATCAAGATGAACTTGACTACGCGATGCAATGTAAAAATAGGCTCGACTAGCAGTTGCCCTGTGGCTCGCCTTCAGAATGATTAAATACAGGTTTTATCATCAACAGACTTCATTTGATTCGCATACGCTGCTTATAGAGGCATAACGGGCATATTTGGTTACTATATGTAAAATAAAAGGAAATGAAAATCCGCAAAAGTCATTTGAAGCCAAGTAAACTATGGCGGGAAAATGGCTAAATTGGCTGCACTGCCGCTGTCCCAGTTGCCGTGGCAAGGTCAACAAAGTCTTATCAGCTTGAATTCTATATGTTTATATATAAAGTATATAAATATATACGTACCTTGATTTTCGACTGTTTAATTTTGAATGGGATTGAAAAGAATAAACGCCCATTGAGCAAACTTTTGCTATAAGTCTGGCCTTGAAATCAAAGGTGAGGCTGCAGATTAAAGGAGAATGAACAGCAAGGCTGATATATGTATGTATATAGAACGTATGAAGAGAGGGAGAACGAGAGAGAGAGAGAGAGAGAGAGAGAAAAGTTCTATTCATAAATCATGATCATTCTTTTGTCTCTTGCAGCATTTGCACTTGCACAAAAACCTATATACCCGTTCCAGCCAATTTCAAAGATCTTAGGGTATCAAACAGCAACAAAAACAATGGGAAATCCGGCATCAATAACAGGTCGATGAGAGAATAGAAATGCTCAAAGTTTTATTATGATTTATAGACATTCATCACCCGAACAATGACAATGTATATACATATATATAAATATATAAGTATATATACATACAGAATAGGTAACGTACAAATTGTTTAAGTGTGTTAAGAGAGTTAAGGAAACGAAAATTCAACGAAAGTTCTATGATTTAAATGTGTGGTGTAAACGTAGAAGCTAATAGATCTAGAATAGATCTAGAGAGAGAAATAGAGAGCAAGATCTAGTGAAAATAATTAATAGTAGTATTAAATAGCAATAGCGATATTGGCAGAAATATGAGTAATCTGAATGTTGAATTGATCTCTATCTCTCTCTTTTTCTCACTCTCTCCTTCCCTCTCTCTCGTTCTCTCTCTCTCTCTCTCTCTCTTAGTCTTTGCCTATTTTGTATTGGTATTTCTCGTTTATCTCGTTCTCGATTTGTGTTTCTATTAAACCCTCTCTCTCGCTCTATCTCTCTCTCTCTCTCTCTCTCTCTCTCTCTCTTAGCCTTTCCCATTTTCTATTGATATCTCTCCTTTGTCTCTTTCTCTCTCTTTTATATATTGTTTTCGATATGTGTGTTCCTATTAGACACTCTCTCTCGCTCTATCTCTCTCTCTCTACCTCTCGATATTTCTGTCCCTCCCTCTTTGCCTCTTGGCCTCTCTTTTTCTGTCTGTATAATTCCTTCTCTCTCTCTCTCTCTCTTTCTCTCGCATTCTATATCTCGATATCTGTCCTTACGGTCTCTCTTAGACTCTCTCTCTCACTCTGTCTTTCATTCTGTATCTTTCTTTTATCTCTCACCCACACACATTCTCTCCCTCTATTCTGCCTGATTCATAAACTAGAAACTGTTTTATGTGAACAAACACAATAGAATAATCAATAGGCTAAAGCCCAGTGAGCACTACGAGACTAAACCATGTTATATTGTATATTATACTATATCCATTTATATACATATATACACAAACATACATATATAAACAATATTTTCGCAACAAACAAACAAAACTCGGAGAACAGCAGCAAATTAAACGAGAAAAAACGATTTAAAGAGCTGATAAGTTGAGCTGGCGATGCTCAGTGTCAGATCTGTTGCCTTATAAAGCGAAAGTTCCCACTGTCGAGACGCAGCTGAGCTGGAACATGAAGATGTGCAAGCTGGAAATGTGCTGGATTCCAATTGGAATATGCCTAATGCTGGCGGGTGAGCTGCAAGGCTTCAGCACGCAGTACAGGGGCAATACAAAGCATCCAAGTGAGTCCCTGGCTATACTCATATCTGATACTAGATCAGATGTATATATCTTCATATATATATATCCACTTTAGCTCTACCTGATCACTGCTTCTATGCGGAGCTGAAGTTGGCTGTGCCCCGCAATGGAACCGTCTATCCCGTCGATCAATTTGACTTTTGCGCCAAGGTCTATTGCCGGGAGGACTATGTGCTCATTATCAAGCAGTAAGTCGAGGCATCAGGCGACTATATCTTACCTATATATGTATACATGTATATCCAATCTACATCTATATATCTTTAGCTGCGATCGCATGCAACTGGCGGATGGCTGTTATTTCACGCCCAACGACTATACGAAGCCTTATCCGGATTGCTGTGCCATGCGCATCTGTCCAAGCAAATGATATATCCCATATCCAATTAGAATTCATATGTATATATGTATATGTTGTTATAAAAATTATATTTATATTACAAAATAGAAGCATATCAAAGTCTTTTTATTGGATATTCGAATTGGAATATAACTCTGCAAATAGATCTAATTGGATAGCCTTGATGATTTAATCCAATGGAGTTACTATATTTAAAATAAACTGTAAAGTAGTTGGACCCATGAGGCAGGTGCTAATTGGAATAGCCACTCTAATTAGAGGTGATTAAAACTCTTGGCCAAATGATCAGATTAGATCAACAAATTATTATTTTAGATATATGCACATATACTCCAATTGGAAATCAGATTACACATGTCTAATTGGATATAGTCGACAAACTGCATGTAAATTGAATTGACACATTTAGCTTAAAGCTAAGTGACAAGCGGTTGGCTCTTCCAATTGGCGTGCTATTGTCTGATTAGATGTGTAACAGACAACGCAGGCAATTGAGTAGAATTGTAAAGCTCGCCTGAGATATCTCGAGAAACACTCAAATCTGACACAGTAAACGCATTTTTAATGGGCATATAAATAGGTGAATATATATGGTGCGACAATCATATGGAAGATGTCCAATTGGAAGTAAATTTTATACTTTTTGACTTTGTAATATAAACAGCTTTACACTAGACAAGGCTATATACATACGTACATATATCATTGCGATTAATCAGAGGAGACTTGAATCAAAGTACTGAACTGTAAATACCCAAATTTGACAACAGATGGCTTCTATAGAAATATATATATATATGTATAATCTATATAAATGCGTTTCAATAATTAGTTTTCACTCGCAATCGAGTCTATCAGCGACTCGAGCGACCTCTGCTAAATCGTCGCCCAGGTCAGAGCTGCTAATCAATCTGATAAACCAGACACTATTTAGCTGATAGCTATAGAGCTATATAATTGACTTGGCTCGAAGGCGGAGCATTCAGTTTCAATTCAAATTTTGAGCTTTACGCTAACGATTTCTCATTATGAAGACGGAGACAATTGTCCTGCTTATTGTGGTGCTGGGCGCCCACTCGCTGCTGGTGCTGGGCGGTAAGTCGTAGCTGAAATGCTCTTCAGGATTTAAATCAACCTACATAGTATATGGAATACATTCTTATTAGATTGCGTATTTGTTGGACAGAATTTGAAGGTGGGTGATAGCTATTCGCCGCCTGGGCAGTGCGTACAGTTCACCTGTCAGGCAGGTGGTGCCATTACGGGCAAAGCGTAAGTGAACTTTTGTACGCAACTATATGCATACCCTGTAAAATATGTTTCGCTCTGATAGCTGCCCAGCACTGGCCACCCTACAGCCCTGCAAGATGGTCGAGGATGACACAAAACCGTTTCCCCTATGCTGTCCCTACTACGATTGTGGAGAGAAGGATCTAAGACTATAGACATAGAAGAACACAAAATTAATAAATGCAATACTAATAACATTTTGAAAAGTTCTATAATCAACAAGTCTGGCAAAACGCAGCGATTGCCACAATTTCGATAAGTTCAGTTAGATCGAATGGGCTCACTTTCGATAAGTTTTGATTGCATATTGCATAAATGCGCTAAAAAATACCGAATCACAAAAATGATTGAGGTAGCAAAGCTTCGATGTATTTTTGTCCAGTTTGGATTTGTTTTTTTTTTTTTTTTTTTTTTTTGAATGCCTAACGGATCATTTATTCATTGATTTAAATGTCATTTTCAGAACGCCTGGGCCCAAACGTCTGAGCTTCTATTTAGTTTCCATTGTAAATTCGTAAAGGAAATTACTTTTCATATTTTTTCTTTTTTTACAAAAACAGAATTATTTCTTTTTAAATTTTTAACCGTAAATAAGTTTAGATTTTTACCAAAACAGATACAATTACCATTCAAATTATATCAACAAAATGTGTCTTGAGTGCAAGTCCTAAAGAGGTAAGTAGAAACTGTTATAATATATATTATTTGTGTTTTATTTTATAAAAACCAAAAAAATCAGTTTATTCGATTCTTCGGCTTGGTATACACGCTTGAACTTATTATATATGCTCGTATATAGATATATCTGTATGTATATATATATATATATATATATGATTTGCAGACAGATCCGTACTCTATATAACAAATGTATATTATGCATATATGGGCATCTATATATATCTAAAATATCCGTGCAATTTGTCCTGATGTACTTACATACATATATGTATATAGATATATGTATGTATGCATGTATGCATTTCGAGTGTCCTATTTAAAGCTGTACAACATCAACGTTTGGAACACACAATACACGCAGGTGAAACTTAGCCTAGGCTTATGCATATAGATATAGATATATATGCATATACATATATATTTATATATATGTATAGAAAATGTGAAGCTATTTGTGGCTCGCTTCAAATCTGTATACATGTGCATACATGCACATGAATATGTGATATATACTTATATATATATTGTATATTGTATATAACATACACACATACATATGTATATATATATAACCTGAGCTAGTCTAAACATTTTTAACTATGGTCCGACGGCAATCCTTTTGCCAGTTTTGTAGATCTTAAAAAGAAACAAAACGCAACAATAATAATGCAAGAAATGAAATTAAAAACGAAAAAGATTTAGAATTCGCTATTGTTTAATAATGAAATGTTATAATCATAATAATACACTTAAATAATAAGTCAAAGCATTAATCAGTTAAAGCTAACGAGCACAGTCAATAACTCGCTATCCGCTACTTTAACTCGTTACTTTTAGCAGGCACAGTGAAAGCAAATATCATAGCCAAAACATCGACGGGCTTGAGCATGCTGTGTTTGGGGTCGATTTGGTCACGGATCGATCTCATATATAGACGACAACATTGCTCAAGGATCCATCGATTCATGAAATTGCAACGAAAAGAAATAGAAGAAAATGTAAAGAATAGAATCGTCACAAGAGTCTGGTCACACTTAAATGCTAGATTCCTTTTCACCATGCCCATGTTGAGTGCGTGTCTTGTGTAGTGCAATGTAGAGTTCTCTGATTGTAGTGTAGTAATCTAGTGTAGTCTAGTGTGTAGCTTAATCGGGTGACTTTAGCTGCGGCATGCCGCACTCCTCCTCCTCTCATTGACGGGCCGCACGCTCCGTTTCCATGAGGCACTCGCGCACTAGGATACGGGCATGGACAATGCCACGCTTCAGTCGCTCCGTTGAGCTGCGCGATCCCGTATATGTGGGACGTATATCACGGCCCATCTCCTCGATCACGGTCAGCAGCTGGGCGTACTTGCTCAGGCCATTGCTACCGACGCTGCCCGCTGTCGGCAGATTGGCGGTGGAGGTCAGCGGTGTGGTGATGTTGGCCGACGTCTGGGTGGTCACCACTGCCGGCGATGTGGATGGGGGCGGGTATTTGAGCTGGGATTGTGTCAGATTCAGGCCGAGATTGAGGTTGACAGCATTCCCATTGCCGTTTCCATTGCTGTTGTTGTTGATGTTATTATTGTTACTGTTGTTGTTGTTGCTGTTCGTGCTGGTGCTGGAGAGATTACGTCCATTGCTGGCCGCCGCTATGTTGGCCAGGGATAGAGCCGCCGCCGCTGCTGCAGCGGCAGACGAAGCGGACGGCGTGGCAGTGGTGTTCGATTGCTTCTGGAGCAGGGCGAGCTGAGCCTGCAGAAATTGCGGCGAATATTGCAATGCGGCAACGGCGGCCGCAGCAGCTGCGGTGGCTGCAGCGCTGCTCGATGCGTTTCGATCACGTTTGCTGCCACCGCCACCGCCGCTGCTGCTGATAGCGTTGCTGTTGCCGCCGTTGTTCACATAGTCACTGTTGCTGGCAGCGCTGCCAGCGCTGGTGTTGCCGCCGCTGCGCGAATGATGTATAGCAGAGATTTGGATTTGTGGTTGCTGCTCGCGCTGTTCGCGCTGCTGCTGATAGTTGTAGAAGTTTTGCACCTGCGAGCGCGGTATTGGTGTCACTGTGACGTCACTTAGCTTCGATTCGACAGCCTGTATGTCCATGATGTCCATTCTGCTGCTTCGCTGCTGTTGTTGCTGCTGCTGCTATTGGTATTTCGCTAATATCAGTCAATTGCTAGTGCATGTCATTTAGTTAATCTTAATTGTTAGTACTAACCGTATATGTTTTGCAAATGGCACTCGTTTTATGTTGTGCAAAATTTTTACGTTTAAGATTTTTCGTTGCAATAATTTACGCTTTCTACGCACAAACAAATCTATTGCAACCACCACAAACAAACATGTACACAGGGTTAGTGTTTTTCCTGATATCGGCATATCGATATATACTCGTGTATGCACTTGTCATTCCATGAAATGCCTAGAAATACCAAAACATACCAGACGTCTTGTAAAGCAGCTGTTGCGCTTAAAGTTAGTTGAATTGACTTGAGTATGCATATGGAAAGACTTCTATTGCTAGTCTTTTTTAAAATGCTTTGAAAAAAATATTTGTAAAAATAATGCTTACTTTCGTTCAGTACGCATTATATACTTATTTGATTCTAACGGACAGCCGTGTGTCGGCGCGCCAGTGCTGTAAAATACACGCTATGACTGGCTGGCACTAAAAGAAGAGAAGGAAAAAAAAAACAATGGCGAAGCAAACTCTGAACTAAAATTCTGTTGTTGACATCTGGTCGCTTTGTAAATTTATTTCGAACACACTCTTGTGATATCTAGTTGTGATTAATTCCAAAAAAATATTAAAATCGAATCTTTTAGTAATTTTATGGATTGTGCTATTAAATAGTTTTTGAAGACGAAGCAGCGCGTGTGTTCAAATCAGCGAGTGTGTCGAGGTGAGCGTATATTACACGTTGTATTTGGTGCAACGCCATCCGCCGCCGCTGTTTCAGTCGGAGTCGCAGCAGAAACAGCAGAAGTTTAGCAAAATTACAATTTCATTTCCGCGTATATGATAGAGATATGCGTGTATGTATTTATGTGTGTGTTTGTTCGTGTGCATGTGCATGAAAGCCCTGATGGCCTGCGAAGCCCAATGTCTTTTGCTGCTGTCAATATGCATATGTATGTGTGTGTGCGAATACGAATGTTTTTCTATGTGGGAGCCGCAGCCGTCAGCTACTGCATGACGTAAAGCTATTGCTACTGCTGCTGCTGTGGCCGCAACAACAGCGTAACAAGACATACAAACTATATACATATGTAGTTTATAGAGTGAGTGTGAGTGTATGTGTAATTAGCAACGTAAAGCTGCTGGCATTGATTAGCGGCTGTTTTGAGTGTTTTTGGCACTTTTACACGCGCCTTATATGCATATATGCAGGCATGCATGTATGAGAGAGCCTGCGTCTGTGTGGAAGTGTGCAAGTTACATATGTATGTGATGCGTGTGAGTTTGTGTCACTGTCGCTATGTGCCGCATACGTTAACAGTGTTGCACAACGCCGCTCTAAGTGCATGCAAAAATCAAATCGGCGCACAAATTACAATTGGGCAAAGCCTAACGCCGCGTCGCTGCACATAAATTTACAAACATACAAGCATATGTGCAGTTGTGTGTGTGTGTGTGTGTAGGAACTTATAAATCTGTGTATATATGTAAGTGCATATGCTTGATTTTGTTGCTGTTATCGATAGCGAAGCGACAGTTGGGCATTTGAATTTTGTGTGAAAACACATACAAACATAAACACACGCACACGCACACATGCAAAGGCGCGCTGAACGACGCCGTTTATTTTGCGACCTCGACATAGAAGAAGCCAACACCAAAGCCAAAGCCAAAGCAGTAGTCGTCATTCCGTAGCAGCGGCAGCAGCTAGGCGGCAAACAGCAGCAGCCATTTTTGATATATTGCTGTCTCGCTTCAGCATTTCGAACGTTGTTATTTGATTTTTAGTTTATTGTTGTTATTGTTGTTGGAAACCAGGCAGCAGCAGCAGCAATTGATGTGAGTAAGCGTTGACTGCACTGTCAGTGGAACACAACACTGAGCAGCATTTGACAATTTGCCTCATTTTCGACTTTTGTACGAACGAACACAGAAGCAGATAAAAAAAAAAAAATATTTTTTTATATATTTCTAAATTTATACAATTTAAAATTCAAGAAAAACAAAATTAAATTTAACCAATTCAAAAAAAGTAATATTTTGCTTAACGGAGTTTACTCTAATATATAAAGACCAAATTTATTTGTGTGTGTGTTTACGTTTATAGATAATAATAATACTAATGTAAATATCTATTCTATCCATGCAGAGAAAGATCGAAAGGGAGAGTGAAGACGCACACACAATAATCGCGAATCTGGATTTGGATTTGATTCAACATAAACAACAACAGAAACCACATATATAAATCGCAGCAAGGTCTTTAGTATAAGCCTGAGCAAGTATTAAATACATACATCAACACAAACAAACAAGAAGAAGACGAACATCATCACCTACAACTGTAAGA